CCAACATATTGGCTGGTTGAACCAAAAAAAAAAACCGAAATCACACAATCAACTTGCCAGAGTTTAAAAAGCATCGGTTTAAACCATCCTCTTGTATTGTTCTAACTTTCGGTTAGTACCCATTTATCCAATATTAGTGCAAGTGGCTGACGTAAAAAAAAGAAAAAGAAAAAAAGTTCTAAGTAAGGGACCACGGGCAGGAACGGTTGCAACTGGCGGTTTTGTGCATTTTACATACCGTGTAATTTTATTTGTACATGATGTAATTTTATTTGCACAACGTGTAACATTAGAACAAAATTTTATAAGTCCCACACATATTATGAAAATCAAGATACAAAACGTGATTTGGACTATACAATTTTTTATAACCAAATTCTGACCATAAACTATGCAGAACGGTCCTTTTGATGACCCCCTTTGATGACCGTCCCTACCCTTATCCTTAAGTAAAATGCAGGCTTTCATGTGCTGAATTAATCATTTTGGGTTAGCTTATTTGGTAAATTGAGTCCGTCTCGATGTATACAAAAGTAACGTGGAGAATAGAGACAACTTGTCCCCTGACTATGATTAGACTAGTAAGGGCAGGTATATGCCTGCAACCTGCTACAATTTGATAATCCTTTGCTAGTCCCGAGAGAATATTGTGAAGAAATAAAAAAAGTGCCCCTCATGGTGATCTCAATTGTTTGGTGAAAGGGATAAAAAAATTGTATTCAGTTTCCAGTGTTTTGTACTAATGATCAGAAAAAGTTTCAAATTCCATGTGAGAATAGCAGGGTGCAGTTCCAAACACAAAAATATGATTCTAATTGAAAAACATTTCATTATTCACCTTATCCATACTCAGTCTATAGTAGTAGATATGGAGTATGCAAAAAGCAAGAGTAAGGCGTTTTTCTGTTGTTAACTTTTACGGGTTTTTTTGTTTTTTACGTTGATAACTTTTACATTACTCTGTAAAGTTTTATTTTTGGTCTCACTAAGTGTTTTATTTTAGTAAAAATCCTACCAAAGAATTAGCTATAAGCGGCAAAATGAATATTTTTTTAGTCATTTTCATAATTTTCTAATAATGCTTGACAGTTTGAAATTTTTTTTCACACCTCATTTCTACTGTATTTTTTTCCTATTAATTAAATTAAGAATTCATGAAAATTGATTAGAATGTATTACTAAAAAGAATGTTATGAAAATTTTCTAATTCTCAATACTCATAATTTATCCCAACCTTCTACCAATTAGATTAAGAAATTATTGTGATTGTTTTCATTTCTATGGTGTAAAAGATTTATTAGTAAAAATTCTACCCTCCATTAAATTCAAACCTGGTACAACTTTTAACAGTAATGGTACAAGTTAACAATGCTCATGGTATTAGTTATTAATGTATTAGGAGTGTGGATTAGATTGTAAGGGTCTAGATTTAGCCATCTATAATCCCCTCTCTAGATACCAAGACAAACAATAGAAACCACTGTTCCAAAATAAAATAATAAAAATGACAAATGAAAAATTAGGTTTATATTGTACGATAATATACTCTCTTCTTAATTCCTGCGAATGTGCCATCAACCGGCAATTTCTATGAGAGCATATATGAAAGAGAGAAGGAAAACATAGCAAGAAGGCGTAAAGACTAAGATAAATTTTAAAATAATGCATTAATAATTAGACTAAGATAAAATTTTACTAAAATGGAAACGGACCAGGGGGAAATCTGAAAAGGAACAGCAAGTGGTCCCATAAGGTTCGGTTTTCACTTGACTGAAATATAACATTTGCACCTATTTTTGTAACAAGTGGATATATATGGGTGATATGAATAATCCATTTAAATTTATCAACATAATTGGATTTAGATGAATTATCCATTTAAACTCGGTAAGTTTATTGCAGTCATCCAAATCCTGGTTTGTGTGGGATGGATAAGCGAATATGAATCCATTTTGCCGTTTCTAGAGTTAAGGTGCATTTGATAAAACTGAAAATTGAAAAATTGAAGTTTAAAATCTAAAATATGAAGTTTGAATCCATCAAATTATTGAATTGTTGAGTATTAAATCTGATACATTTGAGTGCATATCACATTCAGTGATAAGTGAATAGTTTATCACTTAATTTTGGGAACAAGTTTTATCTAAAAAATTCAGTGCCACTTAATTAATTCAGATATTCAATTTTTTGTTATCAAACGGTTGAATATGTTAAGATCTGAATCCATTAAATTTAAATGATGAATTAGGTTATCAAACAAGACCTTAGCCATCAACTATCATAGTAACTTCTATCAGCTTTCATCTTTTCTTATGATCACTAATTTGTTTTAAGTTCATATAGTGGCGGGGAAACAGGAGCAGCGGGAGCCATCGCCTCCTCTCTCTTGAAAAATGTCCACTTAATATGGTATAAAATGTCGTAAATATTTGGTATAATCACAAGTTTGCCTCCTCTAACTTTTGTCAACATATTTACTTTGGAGAAAAGAGCTAATGTTATATACAATGACACTATATATATATATATATATATATATATATATATATATATATATATATATATATATTAATATTATCACAATTAGATACATGATATACTTTCACTATATTATAGCTGAATAGAATTGCTCTTCCTTCCTCGTAGTAGCCGCCAGGTTGACCACCAAGGTGACAGAAAAAGAGAGGGATAGAGAGAAGGAGATAAACAGTTAAATAGGATTGTGACAGATAAATTGACGATGACAAAAAAAAAAAACAGAAAAAAAGGATTGCCGACGGAAAAGGCAAAAAAGTGTGAGAAAGAAATAGACGAATAGGATTGCACAGATCATGGATAGAAGATAAACAAGATAGGGAGTGATTCTTCAGATTACGTTGCCGGTAGTGGTAGGCGCTAGGCAGTGGAGAATGGTGCAAACAGGGGCGGAGGGAAGGGGGACGGTTGTTAAAAAAAAAATTTCTAAGTAAAAAAATTTTTATTATTATGTTTTGCCTCCCCAAAAATTGATCAAAAAATTCACTTTGCCCCCCAAGGGCCCAAACAATAATGTTTGAAAGTTATTTGGACTTGGTCCAAATAACAGAGAATTGCCACTATTTTCTTAACGGAGAATAACAGACTTGGTCCAAATAACTTACCTACTATTTTCTGAACTTCACAATTGCCCTTTTTCACCAATTCACCTCTTATTTCCTTCTTACAGAAAAGCCTCAACTCTCAAGTCCCAACTTCAATTCCTCTTCGATCTCCAATTTTTTTTTTTTTTCATTTCAAAATACAAGCTAATACTCTATGGCAGAGAATTGTAACTCCTCAGTTCTCACCCGAATTTTTCTGCAAAAGTTGAAACGCGTGGCTTTGAAACTGGATGTACCAAAAGCTCTGAAATTTCAAGCTATTATCATTTACTAGGTTAGTTTGATATTGCATTTATTTAGTGAAATGTGGCTGTAAAAAGTTCGCCTGCCAGTTGTTTTTGATGAATTGCTCGAGAGGGACTTGTATTGTTTTTCGTACTTGGCCTTTTAAATTCAGGTGATAAGCATTTATTTTAGTTGATTCTGAGACTGGTTTCCTTTTCCAATTTTTATACTAATTTTATTTTGAGGATCCTGTTGGCTTCCTTGGGTGATGGCCGAGCTTTTCAGTCAGGCTGAATGGCCAAAATTTGTAAGGGAATTAGGGAAACCAGTCTTTTGCATTGGTCGAATTCCCATTTCTATAGGCCATAACCAGCATTTCTCAATCAATTTTATTTCAATTACAGGTTGTTGTTTTGTTGCAAATATAGTGGTAATGGCCAACAGGACAATTGATTCATTTTTCAAGAAAAGACATCTAGAACCAAGTGGAAGTGGTGAAACTTCTTATCCTCTTCATGATTCTTCTCCTAAGCATCAAACAAAGAAATTTTGTAGAGCTGAATCAATAGAGTTTGATATTTCATCCATAAAATGTGATCCTGGAAAGCGAAAATCCATTTGGAAATATCTAGAGTATCAAAGGGATGAGGTACGGAGATAATGGATCGACTTCAAAATTACAGAGATAATGGATGGAATGAATTGTTCACCAATGTAAAGACATTTTGTGATGCACGAAATATAGAGATGCCTGATATGAATGTCATTTATAAAGCAGGTCGAGGAAGAATTCGAAACAAAATGATTCAATTACCATGGAGCATCACTACAGGATTGATGTGTTTTTGGCAACGGTTGATTCTCAAATACTTGAAATGAAGAATAGGTTTAAGGAAGATGTAATAGAATTGCTTATTCTTAGTTCAGCATTGCAACCCAAAGATAATTTTCAGGCTTTCAATATTGAACAAATTTGTCAACTTGCAAGCAAGTTTTATTTAGCTGACTTCACATATCAAGAGAAGTTACACTTAAGAACTCAATTAGAGCTTTTCCAGATTGAGTTTTCCTGTAATTCTCGGCTTCAAAATTTGTCATCACTTCAGAAGTTGTGCCAAGTGTTAGCAAAGACAAGAAAGTCAATGTGGTATACTCTTATTGATAGATTGATTCGTCTTATTTTGACTCTTCCTGTTTCAACAGCTACAACAGAGCGTGCATTTTCTGCTATGAAAATCATCAAGACTTGTTTACGTTCTAGGATGGAGGAAGACTTTCTTGCTAACTCTATGATAATGTATATTGAGAAAGAAATTGCTAGAACTTTTGATATAAATTCAATCATTGATGACTTTGATAAAATTAAAAGTCGTTGTGCACAATTTCATATATCCCACACAATCAAATAGATTTGTAAATATGATGATATTTTTGTATATGTGAAGCGTATAAGTAATTTTCATTCTATATAAGGTTGTTTCTAATCTTGTGGTATATATGTTCACATTATTTTTTTGTAAATATATTTTACTTTCATTGCTATAGACTCGCCCCCCAAGTTAATTCTAGCTCCGCCACTGGGTGCAAACGCATTTTGCCAGCTACCGCTCAGAGAAATTATTCATGAATCTTCATCCAAACTTTGGGCACCAGATGACAGGATCCCTTGTGTATTCTCTACATGTAATATGTGCCCCTCCTTGTTGAGTTGGTAATTTGGAACAACTATATATAGAGAAACCTCTTTCCCTAATTCACACCCCCCAGAGGAACAAATACTATCACCTCTTTGCATGTAGAGGGAGATCAAAGTAATAAAGAAAAGCAGCGGGTTACTAGACAGAAGAAATGGCAAAGCCAATTGCTCATGCTGTCATGCATTGCTTCCTCCTCCTCCTCCTGACAGGCGTAGCCGTGGCAACGACTCATGGCATTGCAGAAGGCCCTGAAGCAGTTGATGAGTGGTTCAGTAAGCTGGGCCAGGCAAAAGAGAAGGTGACAAAGCTCCATTTCTATATCCATGACTCGGTTAGTGGGAAAAACCCAACGGCGGTCACCGTGGCCCGCGCCAACACGACTTCGACATCCCCCACACTGTTCGGACTAGTTAACGTAGCTGATGATCCCCTGACAGTTGGTCCTGAGCCGAATTCGACGATAGTTGGTCGAGCCCAAGGCATTTATGCCTGCGCTGACCTGAGTGAAATAGGACTAATCCTGTACATGAATTTCTGCTTCACAGCGGGAGAGTACAAAGGAAGCACTCTGAACATGCTCGGAAGAGATGTTGAATTGTATAACGTCGACGAATTCTCCATCGTTGGCGGCACCGGGGTTTTCCGATTGGCGCGCGGACTTGTTACCACCAAGACTTATTTTTATAATGAGACCACCATGGATATCATTACAGAGTACAACGTTGTAGTTCTTCACTATTGATCGTCTAAAACAATGGAGACAGTGAGACATCGTGTACTACTCTCCAGATTGAAATGCCGTTGATTTCTCTTTGAATCAAGAACAATGTAATAAGAAAAAGAAAGTGAATGAATTTATCACTCGCAGTTTCTGTTAAGTTTTATTTTTTCAGTTTCTGCTAAGTTGCTCAAGCCAATTTTGCTTTTTACTTTTTTTTTTCCCTTATAGTTTATCTTTCTGCTAAGGACAAATAAACATTTCCTAAGAGCATGCTCATGCACTGCGATTATGAAGTATGCTAGGAATCAAGTGAAACTCCTCACTTTCTCTTCCCTCATGAAAATGAGTTTTTGACGAACTCCATCTTAACTTATAAACAAATTGGATTGATGCCTAACTAAAACCTCTCTTAGATTAGGGTGTGGCCCCTAAAACTCTCTTGGTTTGGTACATACGGCATTTGGGTTGATGTTCTTAACACACTTAAATTCATTTAAATCCACCATATTTATAACTATCAAGAGAAGAGATTTCTTTGTAAAATTTTCAATGTGAGATACAAAAACACATTCAACAAATATCCACCTTAGCGTGTATCTAACATTGATAAATAGTAGACAAATAGCAAACAAGCTCCACCTTCTTTATAAAAATTTCAACGGATCTCAACGAATTATCAAAGTTTCAACAGATCCCAACGAGATCCCAACGAGCCACCAACGAACCAAGATGCAAAAGGTTTAATAGGTCCCAACGAGTCAAAACTCACAAAAGATTCAATAGATCCCAACAGGCTAAAAAATATGAACATAGTAATCTTATTCCACCTTTTTCTTAAAACCCTCAACGAGTTCCAACAAGCCAAATAATTCTTCTTCAAAAATCCAACTGAACTCCAATGGAAAATTTTTTTTCACTCTCTGTAGCACTAAATCAATATCCCATAATTGATATCGATAGTCTATTATTATCATCAAGAACTCAAAATCTGAAATTCTGATATCAATTTGTTAGGTCTAGTTCCAAAAAATTGACCAACAAGAAAATATGGTTCTTAACAACCCAATAAAAATAATAACAAATCAAATAAAATAAATAAAAGGATGAAGAATTTTCATGATTCAGACAAATTGACCTATGTTCACGGGTGAAGGAGTAGCAAATTTATTATAACAAAAAGAGAGTATAAAAGAAAGAGTACAAAAAATCTAGGAAATAATTCCTAGACCAAAAAGCACCTAAAACAGAAAACACAAAATAGATTAAATAGCACAAAATGCTTAATAACCAAAAAGTCCATAACTTACTTTTTTGGTTCGATGTTTATCAAAACCTCTCTTAAATTGAGGCATAAACCTTCTAAAACTCTCTTGGACCAATACATACGGTATTTGGACTAGTGCATTTAGTATATTTAAATTCATTTAAGTCCACCATATCTATAACCACTAAGAGAAGAGATTTTTTTATAAAATTTTTGATGTTGGATATAAAGACAAAATCAACGGTATGCAGCAGAAAAGGAATCTATAAAATAAGATGGCCGCGGTGACTTTCTAAGGCAATGTAATTGGCTGGTAGTGGTAGGTAGAGGAGAACGAGAGTAGGAGCCTTGGCCGATTACGGCTTAAAAAAAATCCATGGAATCTTCACCTAAAAATTGGGTAGTAAATGACAGGACGGATTGTACAGTCTGCATGTAATTTAATCTTTCCTTGTTTGCTAGCTATTTAGGCCAACCGTACAGAGCAATTTTTTCTCGCTAATTGGTCGTCCCCTAATCCAATGTCACACAATATTTTGCTATATTGATATTTTAGGAGAAGTTTTTGATATTTTGAAAACTTTGGTAGATGATAGTGGGAATGTCAGAAACCTCCCTTGGGTTTCTAAATTATCCCAAATCGAAATGCAAAGTTCACCAACGCAATGGGGAATGGGGACGCGGATAGCTATCAGTAAACAACTATTCTTAAGATTCGGCCACCAACACTGTCAATGTCAGGTCAAGAGATTATCCCTTGTTTTTACAAAACGATAATAGACAAGACGTATACTTTTTTCCTTACATTGTTTGCCTTATTTTAAGAGATGAATGACAAGGGATCGAAAACAAATTAGCCAACCAGCTTTCGTTTTCTTGCATTATCGTTCTTTTTTTTTTTTTAATCAAACTGGCTAGCACACACTCTACGAGCATCAGAAAGTGTGGAAAAAGTACAGGAAAGCAAAGAGGGTAACAGCTTTCTAGCATGAATCTTGGGATATACATATTTCTCCATGAAATTAAGCCAGGCAAGGGAAGATGATAAAGGGTTTTAAAAATTTAAACCATGCAAATCAAAAAGATAATCTAGCTCCCACTCCCACTTCTTAAATGCTAAAGCAGATATTCGCAGTTCTTCCCTTAAAGTTAAAACCAAAAGAAAACAAAAAATGCAAAGTCTGACATTGACAAAATATTAGGAGAAAAAGAGCCACCAAAAATTTGAAGACTTCAGCCCCTTTCGCCATGACCGCCAGATTCAGTAAGAATAGCTTTGTATGACGATCTTGTGGATTTCACATTTTCACCCATCTGATTCTGGGATGTTATCCATCCAACTAGAAGTGAAAAACAAAATGTAGTACATCTGTAATCCTAATAATGATCTCGTCCGTAACGACGCGGGGACAGATTTCTAGTGCAAGTTTATCTGTAAGGCTTGGCAAATTCATTAAAACGGAATTGGTTCGTAGAAACTTAAAACTAAAGTATTGCCACTATCCTTCTTTCCATGCATCTACCTAAACATGTTAGATGCAGACAAGCAAAGCAAAATCAGAACAAAATAGACAGGGCTAAATGCATTATTTTTTGTCCTTTTTTTTTTCTCTCTCTTTTTTGTTTTATTCTTTTGGAATATAGCTAAATGCATACCCTTCTTTCCATGCATCTTCCTAAACATGTTACATGTAGACAAGCAAAGCGAAATCAGAACAAAATAGCCAGGACTAAATACATTATTTTTTTTCTCTCTTTTTTGTTTTATTCTTTTGTAACATACCTAAATGCATATATGCAAGGATCTGCGACTTGCGTTCTCCACATGCATATGCACATGCACGTTTACCTCTAGACTCCAGAAGTTTTTATTTTTAATTTCAGCTAGCATTATTGTTGAGTCTCTGCAATTCGATCCATAATCTGTTGTTCTATCTACCGTATTATTTTGCAAAAAAAAAAAAAAAATTAATTTTTATTTGCTGGTAGTGGTAGGTTGAGGAAAATGATAGCACTATGGACGATTGGCGCTTTTGTAAAAGACAGGCTATTCACACTTAAACCCATTAAACTTTGGAGATAGTCACATTTTATTACCCTTAACTATAAAAATATACAATTTACCCTAGTTAAAGTAGAAATGGGAAAAAAAGTGAGTGTAATGGCATTATTGCTCTAAATATTTATGAGACCATATAAAACTTGCTATTATTTTTCTTTTATTGCTAAAAGACATGCATCTTGTCAACGGTATCTCCTATACAACAATATCAAATTGATAAAAGTTGAAAAAAGTTTACATTTAGTTTATTATCCTTAAAATTTTTCCTATTGTAATAATCTTCACTTTTATATATACTATGTTCAATTTATTGGACTTTGAAACCAACAATAAGGATAAATAGCACAGTAATACCAATAAATAGAGTTAGAAAGTTTTTGAAAAAAATAAAATACTACTAAACTTGTTATTCTTGAAAAATAAATTTTATTATATTAGTTTATTTAAACTATTAAAATAGTAGTCTTTTTATTTTTGGTTTGTCAAATATTAAATTCTTAACTAAAATTGTTAAAAAGTGCAATATGCCTTACTTTTTAAATTTAGAGGAAAAAAAGAGGTTAAATTAAAAGTTTCTCTATTTTGGGCAAGAGAAAGGCAATAATAGTTGCTACAAATCATTTCAGCAACAAAATGGCAATCTTGTCATAATGCTCACTTTTTTTCATAGCGTTCAGATTATGAAGGTTTACTAGTTCTGGGGGAGGTGAAGTGTATTTGTTAAAGTTGAGGTAGCAAAGTGTGACTACTTCCAGAATTCAGGAAGCAAAGTGTTATTAACTCAATTTATCTTTTGATATTTTTGAAATTTCAAAGTGTAATATTCTATAAAATTTTCAAATATGTAGTATCTAGTATTTGTTTTTCAGATTTGCTTGTATCTGTATGCATAATTTATGTAATTTCTGCCATTTGTGCAAATTTAATGAAATGTTGTTTATTGCCTTTAAAAAAAGAGTTTTAGTAATCAAAGTAACACTTGCACTATAAAAAGGAGAGGAAATGGTGATAGATCTTCATCAGTCAGTCGTTCGTCAGAAGCTCAAGCAAAAGGTGAACAGCAATGGCGGTAAGACCCCTCATCCTGGCTCTCTTTCTTTGCCTCCTTTTATCTATTTTCACCACCAGTCACGGCTACAAAACTCATCGTCGTGGACGGCCCTGCAAAGAGCTCTCATTTTACTTCCACGATATCCTATACAAGGGCCATAATAAGGACAATGCAACTTCAGCCATAGTAGGGGCGCCCGACTGGGGTAACAGAACAGAATTTGCAAGACCTTTCGACTTTGGAGACCTGGTGGTTTTCGACGACCCCATCACTTTAGACAACAATCTGCATTCGACTCCAGTGGGAAGAGCACAGGGCATGTACGTATACGATCAGCTAAATGCATTTTCTGCTTGGCTTTCCTTCTCCTTCGTCTTCAATTCCACACAACACAAGGGTTCGCTTAACTTTGCTGGTCCTGATCCTATTCTAAACCAGACTAGGATTGTTTCGATAACAAGCGGAACTGGTGACTTCTTCATGGCTAGAGGCATTGCCATTTTGACGACTGATGCATACGAGGGAAATTATTACTTCCGGCTACGAGTGGATATTAAGTTGCATGAATGCTGGGAGTGATTTAACTAGTACAATTACGTGCTTTCAGCTTTTTCCTTTTCTTTCAAGCCTGTGTGACTGTGTTTCCTTTGTACCCCAATTCAAGAAGTCTTAGATCTTAAAGAGCAAGTATTACAATGTATCGGTAAAAGTTTGCACTGTAATTGTTTTCTTGATGTTGTGCTCAATGATATATGAGTTGCTTGTTTGTGCCCTTTTTCTTTTTATATATTTGCCATGCTAAGTATTTATAGTAATTATTTTAGTATATTTTACTTATTTGAAAGCCATAGTTAAATAATATTGATGGCGGAAATTATTTTAACTAACCTTCATGTCCTATTCTCCTACAATGATCTTTTGATAAATATCATATCATATATCAAATTCTATATCAACACAAAGGAAGAAAGGATACAATAACCCATTATTAAGTTTAGTAAAGAATACAATTTAGTCAATTACGATTGTTAAAAGCATCAAGCTCTACCGTATACACTATGGCTTCTTTCAATCTCAAATGTATACAATTCTTGGTTAAAATTCAATAAACTTCCTCCCATGTTGGAAGAAGAAACTAAAAACTATTTTGACTTTTTTAATATGACAAAAATTTTGAGATATTTCAAAATAGAAAGTATCACATTTTTAGTGAGATGGAAGGAGTATATGCGAGAATTTACGATGCGTTCTCCACATGTATGCACATGTTTACCTCTAGGCTCCTGGTGTTTTTTTTTTTTTTTTGAATTTCATGAGTTAGCATTATTGCTGAGTTTCTAACAACTAGATCCATAATCTGTTGTTCTATCTTGGTATTATCTATACTCCATATAAAAGTGTGTTGGATGATTTACATAGTGATGTTTCTTACTTTTTTTTAATCCACTTAATTTGCCCTTAATTAAAGTGGTATATTAGCATATGTGTTTTTTTTTTTGGTCATCATGTAATATGCAATATCCTAATTTATGAAGTGTTTCAATAAGATATAAATTCTTTATAACAACAAAGAGTCTATCATTAGTACTAAATAAGTTATTTTGTTAAATGATATCGTACCTTTATTCTAGCCAATTATTGTTATTTAATTATAGTAGAATTTTTTTAATAAAAGAAAATTTTATTGACATAGCAATAAGCACATACACCAGGAATTCATTGAGTTACCACTCCCTGTAGTGCAACCATAACAAACTATACAATCAGTAAACTAGAATTCTCTATATAAACAAAATCAGAAGAAGATATAAAAATAGAGAAAAATGCACTGGTCAAAACTTCAGGCTAAGCTGAGTTCCCAGTTCTCCTTGTTTTTCCTTACACCTCTCTAGTTCATGGCCACAGTTTGGATCTGTGAGACAATCTTTTTCACAATTCTGATGCATACTATTGAATATCTTTTGATATCTAGCCCACCAAATATAGTATACCGTAGTGGCCAATGATAATCTCATTAGCTTCTAGTGGAGTGCAAACAATGCCAATGCATCTCACTAACCTATGGAGAGGAACCTCTGTAAACAACAAGTAAGCTCTGAATCTGCTTCCATATTTGGAAAGTAACTGGATAGGCAAAGAAAAGATGATCACATGTTTCTTTGTCATTGCAGCAATATGCACAGGACTCATCATTTACCACTCCCCATTTCTTCAGTCTGCTTCTAGTGTTGAGTTTGCCACTGTAAAGTAACCAAAGAATAAAGGCAAATCAAGGGATAAAAGGTTTCTTCCACACCACATTGGACCACTCAACTTTAGCTCAATGTTGTTGAACTGCTTTCATGGTCTTTGTAAACAAACCATTTTTTTGCATATTTCCATACAACCTGATCAGCTTCCATTATATTTTTTCAGAAGGTACCTTTTGCAATAAAGTAAGTGTTTGTATGTCAAACCTTCCACTGGTTGGCCAATACCTCTGCCCATTCCTGATAATAGTAGCTATTTGAGCCATACTATGGCTCTTAAAGTTAGAAATAATAGATTGAGGAAAATGATCTAGCAAAGCTCCCAGGGGGTGCCAAGATACTGGATCCATCACCTACTTTTTACACAAAACAATTTTTCATCCAACTTCTTAGTTGCAAAATTTTCCTTCAGCTCCATGAAGCATTTGTAGAAATCTTAGCAGGCCAAAAAGGAGCGCCCATCAACAAATACTCAATAATCCAACGGATCCATAAAGTGTCTTTTTTGGTGCGTATGTTCTACAGCTGTTTCATGATAAGGGAATTATTCCGGATTTCAAGTTCTACAAAAACCTACATAATTTTTATTGGCTGGTAGTGGCAGGTTGAGGAAAATGATAGCAATAAGGACAATTGGCGCTTAAAAAAATGCGGGTTATTCACACTTAGTCCCTAAAGTTTTAGGGGTAGACACACTTTATTATCTTCAAGTATAAAAATATGTACTTTACCCTAGTTAGAGTTAGAAATGTTATAAAAAAAAAAGTGAGGGTAGTGACATTATGCCTTAAATATTTATGACTTATGAGACCATATATAACTTACTGTTATTTTTCTTTTATTGCTAAAAGACATGTATTCATCTTCTCAATAGTATCTACTATAAAAACATATTAAATTGATCTTCAGCCCCTTTTCTCAATGATCGCCAGACTCAGTAAGGTCAGCTTTATAAGAAGATTCAGTGGATTTCACATTTTCACCCATCTAGGATGTTATCCATCCAACTACAAGTGAAAAGGAAAACATGATGGATGATCTCGGTAAGGTCACGGGGACAGATTTCTAGTGCATATCTTCAAGGCTCGGCACGTCCATTACAGTGGAATTAGTCCGCAGAAACTTAAACTAAAATATTCCCACTTGCCTTTTCTCTCCATGCATCTACCTAATAATCAGCAGGTAGTAGCTCTAAACATCTACGCCAGCAAAGCAAAGTCAGAACACAATAGCCAGGACTGACTCTAATTTTGTTCTTTTATTTTCTCTTTTTTTTTTTGTTTTTATTATTTTGGAACATACCTAAATGAATATGAGGGGGAGCGTTGAGATTTTGGACCACTTCACTCATAATTAGTTTTGAGATGAAAGCCAAAATTTGTTATCAAATCTCTTTGCAAAATCCAACGCTAATTGATTTCTCAAACTAACATAATGGTATATCTGCAAAAATATTAGCAAAAGAAGGACAATCTAACGGGAAATGAAAAACACTAAGAGAGAAAGAGGTTTCATGGAAAAACCAAAAAAACTGTAGACTAAAAGGCCTATTCTTGTTTTAAGACAAAGAGTTAAAATTTTTTTTGTTTGCGACTTTGTAGGATAGAGGAAGAAAGCAAAAGATAAAAACATGGAAATAGGAAGATAAAAGAATTGATTTGCTGGCGGAAGAATCAGGACGGCGATGACAGTAAAAGAGAACGTCTGCAGAGTTGTTCAAAAAGGGGAATAGAAGAATGGAATTATACATCCATGCCCGTAACTTTTCCAGTATTTCTTTTTATACAACACGGGCAGGATTTGCAGCAACCCGGTGGGTTGATGGGTGGTGTTTGGGAGAAAATTCAATTTCATGGAAGAGGCCAGAACACGGGTCCTCTTGTGCATAAGCAATTATGTTTTTCATCAAATGAAATCTCATACAAATTTTTCAAAAAAAATAGTATGTTTTTCATGATCATATTTTTAAATTATTTTTTTATCTCACATACATCAAATTGTTATAATACATTTTTCTTCTTTTACAAAAATTTCAAAAAATAGCAATCCAAATGAGACCGAATATTTATACATAATTTGATTCTATAAAACAATAGAAAAACTATTTCCTGTCTAAACATGCTTTTTGGTAAGACATGACTAATATAAAAGGTGAAAATTATTGATACTCATGAAACAAAAAGATGTAACACAAATTATTGGACCAGTAACACGTTGATCCAATTCTTTGGTCAAGTTCTTCTCCGGCCAGATTTAATAACTACAATTTCCAATTCATCACCACTATGAAATGATTTCACTTAAGACCTTATGTCAATTCGGAAGGATAGAGAAAATAAGAAGGGGAGGACAAGGAAAAACTAAGGAAATGAAGGTCCAGTTAAGAATGAGAGGGAAAGATAAACACAAGCACCATTCAGAGTGATACAACTAGTTCCGTTCAACCGCACCACAAATTTAAAAAAAAAAAAACATACACACACACACACATTGTTATCAATATGCGGCAAAATGACAAAAATACGCAATCATTCAAGGCCTAAAGTTCACAACTTTACACCTACTAAGACCTAATAAAGGAAAGGAATTGAAGGGGAAGAAATAGACAAATAGTGTCTCCGTCTGAATTCCCAATTTTGTATATATTAGAATTACATATACTACACAATATTATTATTTATAGAATTAATTTTGCATGTAGTGATAGTGTGAATGACAATATACAAATGGTAATAGTGTATATATCGTCAATATATATAACATTTACTCTTATATATATGTGTGTGTATTTATGTATGGGACTCAGCTTCGGCCCTCTTTTTCAATGACCATCGGATTCGGTAAGATGAGCTTTAGTGGATTTCACCCATTTAAGATGTTATCCATGCAACTAGGGTTTGGCCTCCAAGAGAAAAAAGAAACGAAAAAGTACATCTGTAATCCTAATCGTGATGGATGATCTCCATAAGGTTACGAATAGGGGTGATATCGAGCCAAGTAAAGCTTGAATATCCGTTAAAACCAATACTTTAAATTCAAATTGAATTGGTTGATTATATTAGTTCAACCGAAAACCGAGTAGTTATATATCCAATTTGAATTTACTTAAAGATCCACATAGCAAAAAGCCTATCAAATACGGAGAAAAATCATAGTTCACCAGAAATCAGTAAAACATGTAAAAACAAGATTTTTCTTCACTTTTTGGTTGTGCTACGCTTTTTTTTAATTTTCCTCAACTATCTTAGCGAATCCAACACTAATTGATTTCTTAAACTAACACTCCTCATAGATTTGAATTCAACAATGGAAAATTATAAGAAAATAGCAACAAAAAAAATAGAAAGAGAATTTAGAGGGAAAAGAAAAACACAAAGAGAGAAAAAGGTTTCAAGAAAGAGCAAAAAAAAAAAGTGTTATTTTATTTAAAGAGTAAATTACATAAATTATGAAACTCATTTATTTTATAGAAAAACTTAGTATTGGTTGTATTAAATTCAACATCACAATTTTATCCCTAGTAAAACCTGTAACAATGGATTAAACCCTATATTTGGCACCACGTTAGCCACTCATTTTGTGAGTTACAGTGACTCCTCGTCAATGCAACAGTGTCCATATATGTAGGACTCATCTTCAGTTCAGCCACCTTTTTTGCTTCGGTGACCACCAGATTCCGTAAGGCCGGCTTTCTGTAAGGACTAGGTATTCTGCCCTGACGCTATGCGTCAGGTAGCTAGAACCTGGTATTTTATTATAATGAGCATGAGTTTGAAAAATTGGAGGGCAAAGAGAATTATTCAACCGACAGGAAAAGCCAGCAGGGAAAGGTTAGGCCGTGGCGGTGGTTTGCATTGGTGTTAGCCAGGTGTTTGTTTGCAAACAATGCACAGTAACTCATCAAAGGTGCACTGCCGAGAAATGTTACTTTTAATCTCCTTGACTACGGATCATACAGTTTTTTTTTTAATCAAGCAGTCAGTATTATCACATCAGTAGACCTTAGCCTTATTGCCTATTAATCAATTGCTTACTTTGAAGAACAAAAGCATCGTTGCATACCAGCCAAGACTTTTGCAGTTGTCTAACATCATTTAGGGGAGTTATAATCATGGACCTAACGATTGAGTGGCTTTAGGGGCCTGATGTTCATAGACTTGATAAGCTTCTCCGCATCAGTGAGGGTGTGGCAGATGTGGCATCAGTGTCCATAAGGGCAGTGATCACCGTTCAACACCATACGGCATACCTCAGTCTTGTACCTTGGGTGGCGAAATACAGGGCGTAGCTCCTTAATTCCATGAGCAAATTGGCAGTTCTCTGCATAGGGACATTCCCCGGTTTCTTGCCATTTGTTACACAACTCAGTTTTGAACATTCCCTGATTGTAGACCTTCAGCTCAACAGTTTGCTTCTCCTTTTCCCTTCCTGGAACATACACCCTTTGCTGCACTCACACCATCAAACACGTTACCCAACAATCATACGATCAGGGCATTGGCTAGCGCTGGATGATGCTCGGCCAAAACACCAGACATTTCCTAGAGCCCTTCGTTTTGCCTTTAGTATAAAATATATTCCTGATTCATGCGACAAACTTGGCAATCCCCAGTCTCATAAAGAAAGTAGTGGGAAAGCATAAACAAAATAAATCTGAAATGGAAATTAGCATTTGATGAATTCTAAAGAAAATAAATCTGGAAAAAAGATTCACCTTTGTATTGCGATAACAATTCACTTAACCGATCAAAACAACACTCAGTAAGTTTTCATGTCTCTTAGTGAAGTCTAAACAGCTTCATTAAAAAAACGAATTAACACATTGAGAAGTCAGGCCAAATGGTTTACAGATTCCCCTGTTTCTCGTCTGCTTTAGCCCCGTACCCCAAACTCATCTTGTCCAATCCATGCAACACTGAACTCATATCAGAACCCGGATTCTCACTGCTAATTTCTGATAGGAAAAGTTTTAATGGAGTAAGAAATATTATTTCAAGATATTTGTAAAAGCATTAATTATGCAAAGACCTGTTTTATAGTTAATTCTGGTTTAATTGCCTCTTCCAAGCTTCCGTATACTCTATTCCGACCCATTCTCAAAGCATTAATCTACAGCACAAAGAAAAGGAACGAAAAACACAACTTAACATTTAATTGAATAATAACTATTACAGCTATATCGACGCATTCCATTAACAAGAAAAAGAGCAATTGTTCTCCAATTCCAGCCAAAGAAGAACAAATAAAGATATCGCAAGGTTACACTGAGTAATATCCACCATAGCTATACCTAAGCCAAGCAGCAGCTGCATTAAAACAAAGAAGTAGCAGTAACATAAGGCATAACTACAGCAAGACTATCTATCAGGAATCATCGCCGTCCTCAGAAAATTCAATAGGAAAACAAGGGAAGGAAAAAGCACTGGCCAGAGAAAGCTAAGAAAAAGAATGAGGAATGGGAAAAACACACCTGGTAAAGAAGGCCAAGAAAAGAACGAGAGGAAACAAGACCGACAAAAGAATAAGAAAAAGTAGCAGCTCCCAAAACCTTGAAGCGGTGCGCACTGGGTTCAGCTCAACTCACCGCCTAAATTGCCTGGACAGCTGAGGTAAAGAAAACCTAGAACAGAACCAAGAACAGAATGAGAGAAAATTGCTGACGGCGAAAATGTTCCCATTCAAGAGCCCCACGCGGACAGAAGTGAATTTCCAGCAAAACCATTGCCATCCAATGCCAAAAGACCAAAACACCCCTCAAGCTCACAAAAATCACAGTATAGATACACCATCAGCAATGGTGTAACCTTGTTAACACCATCAGCAATAGGCCTAGATACATCTCGTTGATTTTCCTACAAAACAACCAAAGCATAGGTAAAGATTATGAGTTCGGTGTGCCTAAATAAGTCAATCTGATCTGTAATAGATAAAAGCTAACATCTGATCAACTGGTTAGCCATACCAAAGTACATGCTTGGACGAAACCATTGCTGACATAAATAATCTAACATTTATTCCAAAGGATTTAAACAATAGTTTACATTCCACGAGGTATGCTCAAAATAAACACAGACATACAGTCGCAAATTGCTCTGCATTACTCTCTGCAGATGCAAACATTGAGTCCGACGCCAATGATGATTCAGTGGCTCCCATATTTGGTTGATTCATAGCATTTGGATCACGTATATTAAAAGCCATGACAGCTAATGTACACACTCCTAATGGCGCATCATTCCACGATGAACAGCAGCACGCCGCTCGCGGCTCCTTCGATTTTTCGCAGCACGAGCCTCCTCCAAACTTCCATATACTCTATTCCGACCCATTCTTAAAGAATTAATCTGCAGCAAACCATCAAGAGGCACAAATAAAGCAAAGAGTGAAGACTTCAGAAGATAAGCTTACTGAGAACATTAGCTAGGTGAAAGAATAAAGATTTCACCTTGCAAAACCACAAAGCGCTGAAGTAACTGGAAAACAAAATTTTCAGCAAAGCCAATTAAGCAGAGAACCTGGAAATCATACACCACCAAAGTGGAAACCAAACACACATCTGAAGTTAAGACTTTACAAGATAAGCTTACTCAGAACATTAGGTAGGCGAAAGAATAAAAGCTAAAAAGAGACTCAGCTCACCGTCTAAGGTAAACAAAGTAAAGAATGAGAGAGTTAGCTCTAAGAAGAAGAACGAGGAACTAAAGCTGTACTCCTGAAGCGGTGCTCCCAAAACCAATAACAGGCCAAGAATGAGAACAAAAGCATGAGAGCCACGCGAATGAGAAGAAAGGAATGAAAGCCACGCAGACACACGGGAAATTCCAGCACAGCTGTTACCACCGAATGATTAAAGGACCACAGGCCAAGAATGAGAACAAAAGCATGAGAGCCACGCGGATGAGAAGAAAGGAATGAGAGCCACGCAGACACACGGGAAATTCCAGCACAGCTGCTACCACCGAATGATTAAAGGACCAAAACGCCCCTCAAAGTCACGAGAATCACGCGATAACCGGCTTATCCTGCACTGTTCACAAAGGCTATCGACGCTTTATATATGTAAGATTTAGTGAATTTCACCATCTAGGATGTTATCCATGCAACTAGGGTTTGGCCTCCAAGTGAAAAAGAAAAAATGTACATAAGAATATGATGGATGATCTCCATCAGGTCACGCAGAGGATTCCTACTACTGTATATCTGCAAGGCTCGGCACACTTCCTTAAAGTGGGGTCAGTCCGCAGAAAAGCTAAAATATTGCCAGTACCTTCCTTTTCTTTCCATGCATCTATACATGTACGCAAGCGAGGCAAGATCAGAACAAACTAGCCGGGAATAAAATACAATTTTTTCTTACTTTTATTCTCGGGATAATTTCAGAAACCTCACTTGAGATTTTTAAAATCTCACTTATCTTCCTTGGATTGGATTGACATTCATTGTAACATTTTAGCCCTTTTGAAGAAAATGCAAGAAAAATAAAACTTTTATTTCAATAATACCCTTATGTTATCCTACTTATAAAGTTTACAACAAAAATAAAATAAAATAACGTTAATTTTTTATAAGTTGTAAATTTCTTGAATCAAACTAGTTATTTTATTTGTTTTGGAACAAAGCAAAATTTACACCTTGAAAAATTCATACATATAAAGAGATTATTTTAATTTTCAATATAACTTAAACCCCATCATGTATTAAAATGTATTTCTAAAAAAAAAAAATTCTTGACTTTCATATAACTGTCTATGAAAGTTTTCTAGGTATTAATTACTCACCAAATTCCTTCTACATGGTTGATTTTAACTAGATTTAATTTATCCACGTCTTTTGCTGTCCCACCATGATTTCGATATAGAGAAATATAAACCATTATCAGATAACAATTTATTTTTCGTTTTAATCTACGTTTTTTGGTTTAACAACTTTATTTTGTTTTGACTTTTTGGTTAAATAGTTATTAAGAGCAAGGGTATTATTGTCAATTTATAACATTTGATAAAAATATTTAGTTTTGTCAAACTAACAGGAGAAGTAAGTGAGATTTTACAAAACTCAAAGGAGTTGATTGATATTATAAGAAACCTCAGGGGAGATTTTTGAAATTATTCCTTTATTCTCTCTCCCTCTCTCTAATTATTTTGGAACATACCTGAATGCATATCTGCGAGGATCTGCGATGATTTCTCGAGATGCATGCACATGAATGCCTCTATCCTCCAGTTGCTCTTCATCTCAGTTAGCATTATTATATGGTCTCTGCATTTAGATCCATAATCTGTTGTTCTGTCTCCGTTTAAAACCAAAAAAGAAGAAACAAAATGGGTACGTAGCCAAGGGAATATCTTATGTTAATAGATTCATGGGATAATTTCAGAAACCTCCCTTGAGGTTTCTCACAATCTCACCCCCCTCCTCTAAAGATTTTTAAAATATCAGAAACCTCCTCTAAATGTAAGTCGTTAGTATTAAATCCAACCCAATTCAAAAAGATAAACAATAAAAAATTGGGAGTTGGAGAGAGAAAACAACCTAATACCACAAATGCTCTCAAACCTTGCATTAGCGAGATAATTTCAAATGAACGGCGCCTAAGCAACTTAACAAAAATGAAATTTTTGGAGAGGTTTCTGAAACAGAAAATCAGTTAAGCATAATCTACCATACACAAACAACAACTATATCAACATAAACTGCCAAAGAATAAAAATTTTTTAGTACAAAATTCATAGAGACTAATATGAAGATGTGGGTTAAAGAACTCTTGAATCCTCTATAATCAAGGTGAAAATCTTCACATATGGCTTATAATCTGCTTCTCTTACTCTAATTGAAGTGACTTCTTACTCTTGCAATTTTCTATGTCATACATCAACCAGAGTAGAGTGCCTGAATTTAGTGCCCTTTTTTCATGGTATTTTAGATATTATTTGCACTTGTAAATTATCGTTAATTCAGTTAATCATATTTATAACTATTTTAAGTAAATTTGTCCAAATGATTGTGAAATATCTGATAAGTTGTATGGGTATTTAAGTCATTTTATCCATGATAATGTAAGAAGTGGGACCCAATATTTTACTGGTGGAGGTCCCTGATATTTTGAAAACCTCAGGGAGGGAAAGTGAGATTATCAGAAATCTCAGGGGCGGTTCTGAAATTATCCGTAGATTCATTACTACTTATGGCAGTGGTGATTCTGCAAGCCAATATCTTACAAAAACCAACGTGATTACATTGTTTAGCAGTGGTAAGTTGAGGAGAACGATGGCAAAAGCCTTGGACGATTACGGCTGAAGATCCAAAAAAGAATGGAATCTTCACCTAAAAAAAGGGTACGAAATCACAGAATTGAGTATTATCGGTCTGTACTTCGCTCCGTTCCTTGCAGGATTGATTAGTACAGTACTTGGACCAACTGGTGAGGCAATGTGTCAAATCATGTATTATCATGCATGTCCGTATCAAAAAAACCTCAATCCTAACCCAATCCACTAGACTTTTGTGGTGAATCATGTCGTAACTTATTTGTTAACGAGTTAACCCAATTCAACCAGTGTAACCCGTTAAATACTCTATACGACTAAAATAGTTTTAATATGATGTATTATTTTGTCAAATCAACCTATTGACCCATGTTAGAAACACTATAGCATTTGAATCACTCATTTAACCCATTTGATCATGTAATTGATTCAACGTTGTTGTTGTTAAAACACACAATAAATTTTTTGTAATATATAGTCAACACAAAATTTGAAATTTTCAAAACATTAAAAAAATAGATGATAAAGCTTTCAAATATATAATATAAGTTATAAAGTCAGCCTTGTTTGGATTGATTTTTTTTTTGAAAAATTTCTCCATTTTCTATGAATATTCCTTCTACACATTTTTCAATCATCTTTTATTTCACATACAATAAAACCTCTATAAATTAATAGCTTTGGGGCCATCCAAATTCTATTAATTTAAAGAGGTATTAATTAATCGATAAATCAATAACTTATTAATTTATTGAATGTACTTATAATTCAAAGAAACACTCATTTAATTAGCTTAAAATTTATTTTACTTTATAAAAAATTTGAGTTATTCTATTAATAAAAAGAGACTAAAAGTCTAAGAACTATAAACCAATTCATATCTATTTTGATTTGCAAGTATAATTTAATTCTAGTAATGTTTTCAATGTACACATGTAACTGATATTATGAAGAGGTAAAAAGCACTTGAAAATATTAAATGATAGATTCCGCTTCTATTTCATTGAATGTATACAATGATTCAGATTAACATTATGTATATAAATGACAAAAAGATCATTCTTATAATAAATAAACACAAAGTTTTCTTACATTTCTCATTATTAAATTATGGTTTCCCATTTAAAAGATGTTCATAAATCAACAACTCATATTTTATGAAAATATGCTACTTAATTTCAGTAAATTATTAATTTATGATATGAATGGGATCAAAGATTATGTAAGGTTTTTGAAAAAAAATATTATAATCTTATTATTTCATCAAAATTATTAGTTTAACTCATTAGCCAAAGTTAGGGCTGAGAAAAATTATCATTTAATAAAGGTTATTAATTTACCGAGTATTAACTTATCGAGATTTTACTGTATATCACATCTTAAAAACTACTAAAGTAATTTTTTTTTTTTAGAAATTCTCTAGAAAATGAGATCCAATCAATCTTTTAAAAACACGATCAGATAGTTTCATATAAGATATAAAACATGTGAATTTTTAAAACTTGTAATTGAAATCTTCAAACCATATTTTATCGTTGTTAGTTTTTACTAAATAGTCAAAATGCCATCTATAGTGTTTGATTATTATCATAAAGTAAGCTCTTTATCTCCGTTGGTTCCGTTTGTCTGGATTAATGATGAACTCCAAGCAATAGAGTATGAAGGGCTTCATCTCATTTGTTTCCATTGTGGAAGGTACGGGCATGGGGTGATTGATTGCCCGACTCATCAACAAGGTGTTGCAGCAAGAGGGGAACAGGGGTCAAGCAAGGGGGAGGAGGTTAAAGAAGTAGAGGCTAACCCCTTTGGTCCATGGATGATTGCGGATTCAAGGAAGGCTAGAAGGCAAGTATCGGGTCCAGTGGCTAGATCAAGAGGTTGGGAGGCAGCGTCGAAGGGGAAAGGGACTGGTCATATAGTGGACCAGCATGGGGAATCTAGGGGGTAGGGATGGCGGGTACTGGACAAAAAGATGATCCGGGAATTCATCAATGGATTCAGGTCGGTGACAGGAGAGAGAATCAGAATGCTAAGGTTCAGGAAAATGTATTCAGATTTGGAAGTAAGGGATTGATGGAGGAAGTTTCAGGGTCAAGATTTGAGGTTCTAAGGGAGGAGGATGACGCCCAATCCCCAGTGGAGAGAGATACGCGTGCTGTGCTAAAGCAGAAGATTAGCTCGATTCCTGGTCCCCTCCAAGTTGGGGTTGAGCTTAATGGTAAAAAGAAGCCTGGCGGGCCAAAGAATGGATTTGATGTCGCAAAGAAAAAGGCTGGGGCTGTAGTTCAATTACAAAGAGGGGGTTTGAAGAAGACTGGGGGGAGGATTCAGGGTGAATGCTCGAGGATTCAGAAAGGGGGGAGTTTGGACAAGGTGGAGAACATAATGGGGCCATTGAGGCGAGAGCATCATAAGGAAGGGAGATCAGGAGAGTTCACGTTTGAGAGTACAAATGAGCAAGACGTTACATTCTTGGGGAAAAGAGTGGAAAGGCAGGATAAGGGTGTCCGGGTTGTGGAATGGGGACAGGAACAGGATCTGGAAGGTAGGGGGAATGTGATGATTGATGACCCAGGGGACCCTGCGC